AAGGATTAGTTTCGCCTTGGTCTTTCTATGGTGACGGCGCGTTGCGAACGACTTTATCGTCGAACGAACGAACGAACGAATGTACGAACGGTCGTAAAGAAACGACCGCTTTCACGAACGAGCTCCTTAGGCTAAGTTACGCTCTCGTGCCTAAGCACGAGAAAAGACTACAGTTTGATCTGTGTATTAGAAGACTCTCAAAGTTCTCTCCTATCGAACGACGAAATAAGATCAAAATGATCTATCAATACACTTTGTTCTTTTTTCACTTATTTAACGTTAGAATAAATTACATTTATTGCTATACTTTTTGTTTGTTTTTTTTTTGTTTTTTTTTTTCTGTAAAAGTATACATTTTGTATAAAATTTGTAACAAATGTTATTAGAAATATGAAGCCAGCAAAAAGTTAGAATTTTTTTCTAGAGATACAAAAATATATATTTTCAATGATCGGATGATGAACCAGTTTTTTTTTTTAATTAGTAACCAATGCTTAACATTACATTTTTAATTGCCTATCAATTTCTCTTTTATATCAAGCAATAGTATATACAAGAAGGAGTGATACGTTTAAATTAATAAATATAAATCAATCGAGAGTTACTACTAACATGTATAAAGAAAAAAGATAGAAAAGAAAGAGAAGCGTGCTAGCTAATCGTTCGTAGTCTCTAGAGATTTCTCTCGATGCAACGACGTTCAATGATTTACGTACCTATCTCTAATTGATCCGAACCGTCTCTCGATGCCTATCCGCCGGCATAAAACTAATTTTCTACTCGTTAAAATAACCCTAAGTTGATACGATTTCCACGCTGTCTAGAAACTTACTTACTGACGAAATCCTACTACTTGTAGATTTAAAAAGAAAGGAAATGAACGAAAGTAATGCAACGTGCGTATGGGTTAATGTCTATTCGCATTTCCTGTTACCGTTCTATGTTAATACCAATTTTTCCAATGTTTCCCAATTTATTCCAGAGAAATTTCACTGGATAGCTAATAATATTGTATAGACAAAAACAAAAAAAGAAATGTAAAATTATAGTTACTATATTTTAAATTGAAAGTTTACAGAAATGGTAATGAAATATTCCAGACACGTAACTCAAACAAATCTGAAGTATCCAAAATGTTGGAAACGGGAAAAAAGTCGAAAGAAATCTTGACTCTTATCGATTCGTTTTTCTTGTTTATTCTTCCTTTCGTTTGTAATTTTTAGTCTTTTAAAACTGGCCAGGAAGAGAACGTACGTTTGGAGTAGCTAATCGACGACAAAAGGTATAGGCTTTGCCAACTACGGGATTACAGTTAGGTACTCGAGGATCCGGCCAGCTGGTATGCCGGAGGAAGGAAGAATAAACGACAAAAGCGATTGCACGAGAGAGAAATAAAGAGAAAAAGAGGGAGAGAGATAGAGGGAGAGAGAAAGAAATGCAGCGGACAACGCTCCTCCACAACCGATGGAAGGAGTTTCGCGTTACAATAAGCGAACGTGTTTAGTATTCGTGTAATACAAGCGGTCTTCCTATTGAGCACCAAAGTCACGTGTTTCGTACTTGTCCTACGAGTCTGCCAAAGACAACCACCATGGGAGAGAGAATTGTACGAAGTTTGAAAAAGAAATGAGAAAGAATGGAATTTACACTAAAGAATTTTATTACAAATGATTGATTTAACGATCAAAACGAATTACTTTATATAAAACTTATTCGAAATTTTTGTTATTAATTGTAATTTCGAATAATAGATTGAGTTTTAAAAAAAGTGCAATTCTTTTTTTTTCTAAAATCTCTTTCTATCTTTAATAGGAATGATTTGGTCTTTGAAATATTGCCATTCATTATTCATTAACACCTGTGCTTGGTCGTAGTAGTAAGCTTAGTAATAGCGACAACAAAATTGTTTAGATCGCGTAAATGGACCTACTTTTATTCCAGGAAATTATGTTGGTCAGTATGCCGATACTATCACGGAGAAAATATATTAATCGATATTAATTATTTATTTGATATAAGAATTGTTATATCAACGTTAATATAATAAAAGGTAATGGAAAATTTGTGTATAGAAAAAAAAAAAAAACATGTTTTTTTTAACCTACTTCAATTTTTCATAGAAATATCATTACTCAAACTGTCTTAACAATTTATAAATGCAATGATTTTTCTTACCTACTTTATGTCTTTTTTAAAAATAAAATCATTTCTAAAATCCAATTTATACTTACGCGTAAGATTTCAAACAAAATCATATCTCGTAGAAAAGGACAAATAAATTTTATCGATTAACCCGAACAATTAACCTGAAAATATTGAACAAACATACAATACGAAGAGTTAAACTGTATAAGTAGCATCTTCGTGAAGCTAACAGTAGCTAACAAAAGAATGAAGCATCGAATCAAGAGGAAGATTAACGTTCGCAACGTATTCAACACCGGATTACAAGGAAAATGGACGTCTTCTTACGTTCCCCTAAGTTTCATTCTAACGATCGAACTTTATATTTTCTGATTTATTCGTCGCTTTCTCTATCTATCTTTGATCCTTTCTCTCATGGCTTCTAGAATTCTTCCTTCCTGTTTTTAAGAAGTGCTTAAGCAAGCCTAATCGGCTACACGCTCGCAACATTGCCAACTATGGGATTACAGTTATCTACATGGAGATATCCTTGCCATACACACATACACTCATAAATGAATACAAGTATCCGTGAATATAACCAGCTGATCTCTTCGTAGAAACGGAGAGAGAAAGGAAAGAGAATTCACATTGAAATGATGCGCGATATAAGAAAAGGAGAATAGAAAATACACATAGACCACCACCACCCCCCTTAACCCCCCTTTACCCCCATTCCACCCTTCTCATCTCGTTCCACCTTTTACCGCAATATTCTTCTCTCCTTGGTAGCCACATAAATGGACGAAAGCTAAAGCTAAAAGGAACGTTGTTGAAGCGTGCGAAACTATGGCCATGTCTTTCAAATTTAATTAACGTCTTCCGTAACAAAGGACATTGTCTTATTACTTTGGTACGCGTTTTACGCCCGAATAGATCGTCTAATAGCTTAAGATAGAAAATATTTCGACTTATTTTCTATAAACATATCATGAATTGTTTCTACTTGGATATGTTGTTTGTAAAACGATTTACACACGTTGTTGAGAAAATGATTGTTTCGTTTAAAGATGTTATCTTTTATTGCTTTATTCTAACCGACCATTTCTATTCGTGTAAAATATGGATACTTATGGCTATGATATATACAATAGCTTATTTTATAGTTGGCATAGTTGTGCTACTATAAATATTTCGATAAAATCGTACTCGATAGTTTAATAAAGAGTTTGGTCAAAATCGTATAAGAATATAGTTTATGTTTAAAATCGTTTAAATCAATCTAAGAGATTGAATTTATTAAATAGCAAATAATTATTTAGAGTAATTTATTCGTTTCCATTTAATTTCTACAAACTCACTTTACTAATCTTATTCGAATATATATATATAATTACTTAATAAGAATTGAAATATAAATCAAGGTAATGAAAATTATCTTGAAATAAGGAATCATCATTCGAATTGAATAAACAAACGTTTATAATTCCGTAGACGTAATTACTTATGACGATTGTAAGTAAATTTATTCTCACCGTAAACTCTAGCAACTCTATAAATTTCAAAATAACTACATTATTGAAATATTCAACAAACCAACCAACCAACCAACCGACTAAATTTAAATGTTAACTATCGAGCAAGAAAAAAAATTCTCAACTATTTAAAAGACAAATTTTTGTTTCTATGAAAAAAAAAAGCAGTCCAGCAACGTGTTGTACTTAATCTTAACGGTAAGTCCTTAAGGATGGAATCCGAAAGTGCAATGTTCATCTTACAAGGAAGATTATTTTAGCGCGACCATAGACGCATACCATGCTTGCTTTATTCACTTTTATTAATCGTATACCGTTCGTTGACAAAACGGCAGCCTTGCCGAAGCTCCAGGTTACAGTTACTTAGATAGTTTCCAAGGTTGAAAAGATCCAAGAGAAGTAGAAGAAGAAGAAGAAGGGGTTCATAAAGAAAAGGTAGAAATAAAGAATGAATAAAAAAAAAGGGTTGGAGAAGGGGAGGTCCAGTTGGATTGAAAGTTCGTAAATAGATGCGATTCGCAAAGGATGTGGGGGCGTGTGAACCGAACTTAAAAGCCCCACGTGATGGTGATGATGATGATGATGATGATGATGATGATGGTGGGTGTGCCTTGTTGGCTTCCGCATACTCCTTCGTAGTCAACGCAAGTCTCTTCTTATCTTCTTGCCAACGAAAGCAAAATGCTAAATGTTCTCTTGTGTGTAAGATGCACGTGTAACTACACATGTATAAACGTATGTGTGTTTGTATGGTGTAAAGGTATATACGTTGGTTTCTCTACGTAGAAACATATCTCATGCGGATTTATGTGGAGCGACGTATTGTAAATCGTAATAAAGCGGAGATCGCGTTGAACGAAGACGAACGGCTTCTTCTCCTTCCTTCCTTCTACCTTTCATGGATTTAAATGCTTAGGAGCGGTGTCCCTTTGCCGCGTTGCTTATGTGTTTGCGAACGTTCACCGAGTTTGTAATACCCCCGTAGTGACACGAACTTCGTGGAATTTCTTATAGTACCTAACATCGTACCTATTTTTTTTTTCTTTAAACAACGTTACAGAGATTTCCTTGTGCGTTCTTATCTCAAAATAAAGATAAGTGTAACAGATATTGTTTGTCAGATATTCATAAAACTTATCTGACATTTTTTTGATTACTCGTAAAACATGAAACGCGTGCATTTTAAAGTTTTTCAATCAGATTAGTATTTTCTTGCAATAAGAACTTTTAAAGTTAAACAATTTTCTTGGCATTTAATTAATTGACATTTTTCATATAAAAATTGATTCGTTAAAAATAATCATATGCATGTATTCAACTTGATAAAAAGATGAAACTTACCGGGCAGTGTCAGACCGCATGTCAGAACGTGTTCCGGTACGTCATGAATCGTCCTGGGTGAAGTGACTTCGTCGGCTCGTTTTTTCGTTCCTGAAACAGAAACCAACGAGGGATCTCGTTACTCCCGCATCCTTTGCAAACACCGAGGACCACCCTTGCGTTCGAATTCTCTCCAACAACAATGTGGGACGCATTATTTGGTAATATGATCGAATGCATAGGTGTGTACACTTGTACACGAGTGAAGCTTGCTATGGAATATCCCACAATGTAAACGTACTTTAAATCATCTCTGAAAGGATATCGATTACCATTGTAATATTTTATTGCATCAATACACACAATACGATATTACACTGTGATATCAATTTCTTTCTTTGTGATATTATGATCTACACACGCGCAGAGAAAAAATATTGAAAGTTTGGAAATAGAACATTGAACTATCAAAAAATGGGACCACAATTAAAAAGACAACTTTTTTTTAGGGAGTGGGGGTAGATTGATAAATATTTGCAATGTAATATTTATTTAAAGACAAGGGTTCGAGAGAGAAAGAGAGAGAGAGAGAAGTTACGAGTACGTTGCACTTGAGTAAACCTTACGTGGATTCGCAGGATTAACCTTCGCTCTCGCTTTCTCTCTTTCTTTCTTTATATCTTTATATATCCTTCTTTCTTTCTATTTCTTTGAGTATATGGCAGACACTTTGACTTTCCTTATTCGTCGTATTTTAAGATGAAAACTTAACGCAAAAGAAGACGTACAGATATATATGCAACGGTTCGCATAGTTGACGCCACTCATCTTAAGACGTTTGCATCGTGAACTTGGTGTCCCGTCTCTGATATCTTCCTATCTTTTTTCTTTATTTCTTTCTTTCTTTTTAATATGCACCGGCTCTTCGGATGAAAGCCAATCGCACTTTCGAATGAAAGACGTTCGACGTTATGACCATGTAATAATATCTTTTAATTAATTTATTCATCTCATTTATAATATGATACATTCTTCATTTAAAAGTATCATTTATTTTTTTTCGTATTTTTCTCAAACGACTAACGTACCCGCTTCATAACATCGAAAATCATAATAGAAAAAGTAAGAGAAAAAAAAAGAGAGTGAGAAAGAGAATAAATAATAGAAAACACATATATAGGTTTGTCTGTGTGTATGTAAGTCTGTTAACGAAAATGTTCTAGTCGAAATTATGACAATAACAATTGAACCTTGAAACTCGCAAGAAATAAACAATATTCTTCAGTATCCTTCCGTCCTCTGACACGTTCACGTTAGACATTTAATAATCTACTTAATTATTGAATAATTTTATTTCTAACGTTACAGCAATCAATTTGATATTATTTAATATTAATTTTTGATCTTTTACGTACACTTTTTATTTATAATTAGGTTTTTTTTTTTTTAGAACTTTAACACGATACATCGTAATCAAGTTTTATAATATTTTCTATTAATTATATTAGGTAATCGTGCACACCATGCCAGATGGATAATAAATGTCATCGATAATCATTGGTACGTGTAGTATGTAATAATAAATGTTACTTTGTAATTTAAAACATATATCAATTTGATATATCAATCGTTTTATAGCAAAGCGATAAAATGTCTTATCTTTTATAGTATATTAGTAATTAATCTAGAAATTATTTATTGTACAACATTTTTCATGAAAATTTATATCTAATTCGTGTAGACACTTGTTAAATGGGATATAATCAAATTTTAAGAGAGATCATTATCTATGAAATGTAATTACTTTGTACGTTGGTGAGTACGTAAATTAAAATAACAGTTCTCAATGATGGAACAATTAAATAAGGAAAATAAAATAATAATATTAGATAAATATAAATATCTTTCTTTTTTTTTTTTTTTTAATAGAGGTAATGTATTAATTAGAAAAATTCCTGGCGCCGTTTATATAAGTAAAATACTATTAATATGAAATTAGTTTGTAACTAACTCTCTCTCTCTCTCTCTCTCTCTATCTGTCTACGTTTTCATTCCTTGCAATATTCCGTTCAACCAATTAGTATTTGCTGTTTGCTCATGGGCGTTATTAAACGATTAGAAGACATTTTACCTATGGGGTCTAATTACAGGTTCTCGCGTTCGTTTATAAGTTTATCTCGTCTACGTTTATAGTGGTAAAATCGATTCCTTAGCGATATACAATCGTTATTACTTTCCATCACGCTTCTTCATGACTTATTTACTCATATTAACCATGCATTTATTTAGTTTTTATTTTTATAACGAAAGTTCATTAAATATAATAACATATATCATTGAAATATTTTCTCAAATAGATTGATATAAATTAATACTGGTAGATTATTTTTTTATTGAAATAATTATTTATTCAAATAAATTCAGACTGAAGAAGAAGAAGAAGAAGAAGCGTGAAAATTTTCAATGCCGCGTATCATTACGGGAAAGGGCGTTAATGACGTGTGATAATTACAAACTACCAACACGAGTAAAGACAATGGTTGAACGGATACATCCACCGACTACTAATAGACCTGAGAAGAAAGTCATCGTTGAGGCGAGAAAACAAAGCCAAGCTTCATCGAGAGTGAGAAAGAAATGCAATTACCATTGATTTATCGCTACGTTCTTAACATTCTTAGAACTCGTTGTCGATCATTCCAACCAACCAAATGAGAAATAATGGGAATACTGAAATTGCACAATTATTCATTATCTCATTTTTATTCTCTTTAGTACAATATTATCATATTTAACGTAAAACGATTCAAATGTTTAATATTACTGTATTTTTTTTTTATTATTTATGCTGATTATTTGTATAATATTTTTCTTTTATTTTTTTTTACTTTGTTTTCAGTATAATTTATTATTTTATTTAATTCATTAAATTCTGGGGTTAGATTTTAGAGATAAAAGAAAGTAGATTGGCAATTAAATAAAGTTAGCATAACGTAGCCCGGAAATGTGCACAGCAGGCATGAGGATGAGGATGGTATCGATATAATAATGTGTCTTCCTCATCTGGCATCGTCGTAGGATCATTGACATGATGATTTAAACGAGAGAGAGAGAGAGAGAGAGAGAGAGAGAAAGAGTGAGTGAAAGATATACATGAGGGGAGATGATCGAGGTCACCGACATGCAATCACACGTTATTCCATGCGTTGCATACAGTTGATGCAGCTGTTAATGCACAACCATTGGGATTTTACTCTCATATTGTAGTATTATGTACAGTAGAAATCGAAGAAAATTGATTAAAATGTTGAGATCGATGGAGTTTTTCTTTTTTTTTTTTTTTTTAATTTAATTTTACATACATCATCAATTCGTATTTCAACTGTATTTAAACAAAATGATATTTGATAATAAGTAAGTATTTTCATAATAAAAAATTGCATGACGCAAACAAAGCGGAAGTAGCTCAACGTGAAAGCTTATCGTTACTTCGATTAACTTTTAACCAAAGGTTGATTGGATTTTCTTACTTTACGACACGTCGTTTGCAACTCAAACGTTTCTATTCCTCCTATTCCTGTCACATTTTCTATCTTATGGATGCGACCTTTAGATGCTTGTCCATCGTTTCTTCTTAATGTATTATACTATGCTTGCGATAATAACAGCAATTGAATGCATCGATAAGTTTCAAACTCAACAAAGTAATCTATTGTGTGTCATAAAAGTATCGAACAGACATATTCTTTTTCTTGTTCAATGTATTCGCGAAGAATTAATTTAAGCTGGGTTTTAAAATATCGTTAATGTGTTTTTCAACAAATTATTAACTATCCATTTAAATTTGTCAACGTGACCAAGAGTTGATATCCTCAATTTCATTTGCATGATAAAAACGATCGATAGAAACCAATTGAAACTTATCGAAGCACATTGGCCGTGCACGCGGAAGCAATTAAGGTCTCCGATAGAAACTTGAAACGATTTATTGAAGTAAAGAGAACTTTTCAATTGACGAGAATACGTCTCTAGAAAACTTTCTTCTTCCCTTCATTAACACCGAAACGATGACGACCGACCCCTTTCAAACTTTTTATCTTTGATTGTAGGAATCATTCAATAATCTTCTTTTTTTTATATTCTCCACCTATTTTCATATGAAACTTCAGATAGAAATTGAACATGATTCTATTTGTCGTATTAGAAAATATTTCGAGATAATCGAAGATGGTTTTATATGAAGGGAGAAAGATAGGGAGGGAGGTTAGGGGGTTACCAGCAAGAGCCTCATCTAACTCGATTGAGAAAGACAGGAGAATTAAGGGTCTGGATTAATCCAATTGTCTTCGCTTGTAATTCAATTGTGAAAGGAAATTAAAAATCAATAAGTACCTTGCACTACAGTACAGTCTTCTCCATCAACGATTATGGTAAAGTCTTGTTAGAACGATATTAAGAGTTCTTGATGAAGAAATTCAATTCATGAAGATGACAATTGGAAACATTAGGGGGTAGGTTGGTACTCATTGAGTGTTCATATTAAATATTTTATTCATTTAATTTAATTTCCAACTTATATAAGAAAAAATGAAAAATACGATTCGTTTCAATCTATCCTAAAAAATTTAAAAAACTTTCTTTAAAAGAATGAAACGTCTCTCCCATTCTCTCTTCCTTCGAGCCCTCCTCCCTTTGTTTAACGCATGCAGAGGAGAACGACGATAGAGAGGTGAATAGCCTCCATTGTAGAAGCCGCTTGATTCTCGCTTAAGTAGATATGATTGAGGGCCGCCGTAGGGACGATCAATGAGTTACTAAGTATAGTCAGCCTATGAAACAAACGTTCAATCAAGCGGTGCTTGGGATCGGCTCGTATACCGAAACGCTTTAATTCGATTCTAGGTCTCCAGGTGCATAGTAGCCACAACCAGAAGCGTTTACCAATGTTTTGCTTCGATGATATCGATCGATCTTATCGAAAAACAATTTACCTTTTCGAAGACAATACTCGCTTGAAAAGACAAACTACGTGGGATAAGAATTGTATTAACATTTATTACGTATCATCGACAAAGAATTTGTTTAACAATTTTTGTAAACGTTTAACGTGATTGAAAATCAAGGGGGGGAGAGAAAGGGGTGTAAGTAATTCATTTCGTAGGATCACCTAGTTTATGGTTGTTTCGTGTAGTTGTGTGCACCCAGGCGTGGGTTGTGGCTTCATGTCACGTTACACTGGGATATGTCCTATGCTGGGTATATACAGGGAATCACGCGAAAAGGAGTGAGTGGGTTGCTGCCACTCTTGGGAAAGGCTCCCAGAGAGAACGAGCGAGTTTCTATGTCAAAGAGAAAGATAGAAATAGATAGATAGATAGAAGTCAATGAGAGTGGCACGTGCTAATGAAACGCGACAACCAACGCAAAGTCATGTCCGATCGCGTGGCGACTGACGCCAAGATTAAACCGCCCCGCAGGTTGTTCAAACGTGACGGCAGCACCAGAGAACGATGAACGGGCGAGACCATGTAATGTCCGATTATGCACTTGATCGAGGTGATCTTTCGATAAACCGCCGAAACCCATTGAAAGATCGTTTCAGATAAATTCACATTTAATGTATTACCTATGTATTTTCTTTTTTTTTTTTTTTTAGCATAAAAATAAATTTCAAATAATCTATCCTGGTGATCCATATATAAGAAACTTAGTTTACAAACCAATCGAAAATAAAAAGATCAGCAACGGAACGGTATTAACACGTTAACCCAATTAGCATCTGGACGCACACCTTTGTTTGAAGTTCGAAGTAAAGAAAGGAGTACAAAATTCAAGCTGCTTTGAAATGACTATACTTTGTAGGAGGGGAAAAGGGACACGTATATCGAACTGTTGCTGCGTTATCCCGTTTCATTAGCAAGCCCATACCCATTGACGAGTTCGTTACTCCGTTCATTCACTGTCCAGGCGAGAGGCAGGTCACTTGCCTCTCTTTCTTTCTTTCTCTTTTTCTTTCTCTCTCTCTCTCTCTCTCTCTCTTTCTCTGTAAATACAGACACCGGAGCAAGTCGCTGGTTGCAGACACAAAAGTCAAGGAACCTTTGGAATAGCAAGCCGCTGCTCGGCAATTGCCGTCACCACTGGCACGGTACGACGGTCTGCTCGTAACAGTCCGCAACGGTCCGCGGTATCTGCGGTCTCTCGATCTTCGACTTAAAAGACTCGGCTAAATGCCCTGGCCAAACAACTACCCCCCTTTTTCTCCCCTTTCCTTCCTTCCTTCATGTTCCACTGTTATAATTCTTACTTCCTGCGTTCTACCATGTTTTTTGTTTTTATCATTTTTTACCACCATCTTCATGAAACGTCAGTTGAATTCGATTTCTTTTTTATCTTCGATAATTTATTTTAGATTGATTGGTCGATTGTTACGTTTAGTGTTAAAGATGCGAGAATATGATATAATAAAATTTGTCTCTTTACAAAAGAAGACACTGAGATTTGCACGTGTCAGAGATGTACACGGTGATATTTCGGGATAAAACATCGTGAATTCATGGCACTCGAGTTGGTTACAAAATGATCGCAATCAGGAGAAAAAAAAGAGAAGAAGAAGAAGGGAAAAGGAACGTGGGAGGATAAGAAGAGTAAAAAAAAAAAAGAGATCGGTCCGGTCACGAAACTTCAAAGTGTTCCCCCGGCAAAACGGAGAACGGCCGAGAACGTCCGGCCGGGTTTGGACGAAGATACTCGTATACTCGAAGAAACGGGAGTGACTCGTTTCGACTTCTACGGCGAAAGATCGAGTGACAAGCGAATACGCCGACAATTTGCATACCCGTTCGTTACAATCACGCCCTCATGCCTCGTGCGAAAGTCATCGCTCGTTAACGACGTCCCGTAGGAACGAAATGCTCTCTTAACACCTAGCGTAACAAACGGATAAATCAAATTTAGATTTTAAATTGAGATTGATGAAATTTCGATCATTTTTATATTGAATATTGTTGTCTCTTATATTCACGTCAATGAATGAAATTAAAAAATATTAAATGGTATTTAAGTTATTCATTAGATCTATAACTTCACGAAGTGTACTGCACAAGTAACGGGAATATGATAAATAATATTGAGTTTGTTCGTAGGTTAGAAATTTCCTGGACAACGCAATATTTTTATTTATAAGAGAATTTATTTAGGAATCAATTTAAATGACACAAAAATTCGAATCCGCATTCCAGAGGGAAAAACTGAAGATAGAAAATATTCGTGAATGTTTTACAACCGTGTTAAAAATTGTAGACCTATTAGTACTATACATTTTGTATACAGTGAGAGTATTATCCACACACGTAGTATGATACGAGGCGGTAATTCAGTCGGTGAGACGACTTTGTCGAAGAGAAAGACTTTTCAATAGTCATCGTTTGTAGGAAGTGGCCACTCGAGGATGATGGCGCGTATCGCCCACGCCTTTTATGCTTCTGCACAGAAATTTCAAGTTCGTTCGTCTATTCGGTTTTGTACCGAGTCGCGTCGTGCTGTGGCAGTATTCGTTCCTAGGTAAATCATAAGTCGTATATAGGTATAAGTAAAAGTCGTCGAGAAATAAAAGCCAAAGAATAAGTATGGGAAATACCAATACGAATGGGAATATGAATAGGAATATGAATAAGAAGTAAAATGGAAGTGGAGAAGACGAAGTGGCTACTACAAACAGCAGCTGACGCGGCTTGAACCAGAGAAGTCATTATTTCTAAGATATTTCTAAGCAAATCGCTATACCGTAAGAATTCCAGAATAAAAATTACATGTTTACATATCGCGCGATATCACGCCATTATTTTCCTACTCATTTACAGTTATATTACGAATATTCTTCCCCCCCCCCCCAAAAAAAATATAATAAGAAACAAAAACCGGATATTGATGACCTAACTATCGTATAAAACAGTAACAATTGATAATGGATATGTTAACTTACCGAATCCCATACGAACTTCTTCCTCATCGTCGCTGTCGATATGTTTGATGCCAGCCACTTCGAAGCTTCTGGCACATTGATCTTTCCTTGAATTCGATGTTATAGAAGAGGAAGATGCCGTACCGCAATCACACTCGTCTTCAGGACCGTGCTCGCCGCAGGCACAATCTTCACCTGCACACTTACAACCAAGAAGAGGATCGTCTGTGTCTATATTCCTACAGGCAGGACAGGGGAATGTAAGATCATCGAGGGAGACCCTTTCGATCTTTCGTTCAACGGTGACGAGAAGATTGGCGATGTAAGTCGGCAGTTCCTCGTCGGTTACGTCCTCGAGGTGTCGAGCTTTCTGTAGTCGTTCTTCCAGTTGCTCCTTCCTCGTTTCCCTCCTCTTTTCAACTTCCTGCCTTCCCACAAGTTGTTCCAACCTAAGAGGACTCTTTAGATCCTCGGGTGCGATTGGTCTGCTTCTTGTTTCGCATCTACCACTTTCCTTCCACTTTTCCATTATCGTTGGTGATACAACCTTGGCGCACCTTTTCACTTTTGCCGAAAGACTAGATGACGATGATTCGAAACCCTCCTCCTCAGTTAATTCCTCTTGCGATGGTTGCTGTTGATGTTGTTGGGAATATTTTTCAAATCCACTATCACTATCTTCTATTTCGTTTTTCCAACATATGACGCTAGACGTCGAATTTGATTTCGTCACTGGCGTCATAGCCGTCAAAATACTCGAACTCGTATGACCAACATCGGAATCTTCTGATCCTTCCTTTGATCCTTCCACTACTACTTCTTTTTCTTCTTTTTTCTCTTCTTCCTTTTCTTCTTCTTCCTTTTTTTGGTCTTCTTTAACACTTTTTGATGTTTCACGCGACCTACGACGTGCTCTGGCTACCGTCGTTGTCGTACTCGTACTAGCACCGCTATTGGACCCTGTTATTGTTGTAGAATTGTGTTGGGTTTTTCGCGAAGGTTCCCGCCAGTCCATAAACTCGTCCTCACGCTCCCAACCGAGGATCCCTGGGGCCCTCATCGACGTTGCTCGCCAGATCACTGCTATCTGGGAAATCGTAGACAACAAAATAAAATAATATAGAAGAATACGTTGAAAATAAATCGTACAGTTTATTCAGCCATAAAAAAATGTGAGAAGTAATTTAGGAATACTTTCGTAGATAAAAATAAATACCAATATGATAAATTGACATACTTCCTGTACATACATAAACATGATTAACATATACACGTATATTTTCTATTGTTCGATCAAATCCGCTTAGATAGTAAGATGTTTGGTAGAGAAATGATCATCGCTAAGGAACGTTAGGAATCTTTGACACGTCGTCGGGACGTTCGGGACCATCCTTCGCGACGAATAAACGCGAAAACAAAAAAACCAAAGAGGGAACGATGAAAAGAAAGAAATAAAGAAAGAAAGAAAGAAAGAAAGAAAGAAGAGGATGGAAAGAAAAGGGACGTGACTCACCTCGACGGTATTCCGCTCGACGATTTCAACAGCAGCAGCAGCAGCAGCAGCGGCAGCGGCCACGGTACCGCTCGACAAAGTGCTTGCTGTTACTGCTGCACTCCGTACACAGAGGTAACATTCCCCAAGTCTTAGTGCCGAAGCTTCGAGTTCGCCCAACTGCAGGACAAGGGCTCTCCCACCTATCGTCAAAGGCCAACCCTCTGGCACCACTAATTCATTACCCTGCAAATTGATAATAATCCTAAAATTAATTCCAAAGTGTTTTCAGACAACACAATACAAGTAATAATAAGTTGTATTATAAAATATGTTATCCTACTTCAAATATGTATTCTACGCAAGGATATCGACAATTGATTAGATTACATTGAAATGAATTATTAATAACGCTGATTCAAATCCGTAATCGGAGCTTCGAGGAAGGGAAAGAACGAAAGGCAGATTAGGGCGAATTCCCGAGAGGTTTCGTTCCTCTATCTTGTTGCTCCCCCCACCCTAAGTTGACGAGTTGGAATGCGAGTGGAATTTAATCGGATTCAAATAGTGTTGCACGTGCGCAGTATAAGAAAGAAAGAAAGAGAGGGAAGCAAGTTGGAATGCATAGCCCTGTAAGTACCCACGCCGGACGAGTACCTTCGAAAGGCGCAGCAAAGAGACACCTTACGCTTCGTAATGCTTTGTATTGCTTCGCCCACGTGCACACGTCCTATGGCACGCAAGCAATTAGACTAGAAGAAAGTAGACACCCTGTGTGTGAGAGAGAACTCCTCTTACAAAGTTCCTTGCATTCCGTACGACAAAGGTCGTCTCGAGTCAATCCTCAAAAACTTCTTTTAAATACTAATTTGAACTTTATGTAAATATTGAAAAATGTAGCACATAAAACATTTCAAACGTGTATTTGAATTAAATTGATTACCCTTAATACGAGCTTTCGCTTAGATAATGCAACGTTTGATATCTTATTAGTGGATTTCGAATCTAATAAATAGATCAAAAGAAATATGCAAGAGAGAATGTAATAATGGTTAGAAAGGTAGAAAGGTTGATAATGTAACAAAGTGTATATATAGATATAATCATTTTCATTATCCTCATGAAGTCCTATGTCTGTCAATTCACATAAGCGACAGGATAGAAAAAACATTGTTCAGTTTCTATCGGTTGTGATTTTGCGCGAGTCAATCCACTGTTGGAACTTAATTAAGGCGTGCGTGCTTGACGATGACGACGACGACGACGACGACGACGACGACGACGACGACAACGACGACGACGCATTTGTGTCTAACGCTCGTAGGTAGACACACTTACTTGATAGAGTAGATTCTAATGTAAGTAAGTAAAAGTATGTGTGAGCGTTTGTAAACGTATACGTGTTGAAGCTTGGCGTCGCGTGTCCGTGTCGCGTGCCGTAAGTTGAAGCATACACCAAGCATTTCCCTTCGCGTGTTCTCTCCTTCGTCCTCCTCGTCATCGTCAGTTACGTGCCAACGTATACAAGACGGAGAGTCCTCATGAGAACTTAACAGGAACTGGCCCAGATTCCTTGAGTTTCCTTGCGTAGGAAAAGTGAGAAAGTGTAATCGAGAAATAATAAAAGGTGACTGTAGATTTATACTTAAGTATTATCCCCCTTCTCTTACATTCTAAACATTGTATTTTAATCAACACGTTGTTATACAGAAGTACTGTGAAATCTATTCTCTTGCAAGCAAGTATTATGAACTATTATTAAAATTCTTCTAATCTTGGATAATTCTGAAGACACCAATAATTCTCTCGATTACATTTTTTCTAATTTGTTAATCGAAACAATTACCCTTGAACCAAGTGAATCGTTCAAGGTTCTTCCATAGCAATGAATCCTTTCGCATTAATCCTTGGTATTGTAACTGTTAGAAAATTTCAATAAGAAAATTTTCATGAATGGTGTCAGTGGTCTCTGTCTTATTCTCTTGTTGTTATTCTTCCGTTGTTGTTGTTGTATGGCATTGCAACGAGCGTGTTTATGATGTTGCTTGGATAAGAAACACGGCCGTCGGCGTCCGTCACTTGAGTGTCTCATTAGTGGGGAACCTTTCGCGAAAGACGTATCTGCCCCGAAACTAAGCTGACTTTCACTGCCCGTCCTTGTGATTTATCGCCGGAATGTCCTTCGATTTATGTCCCGCCTCCGCATAGGGGAATCTTGCGTTCACCTCTTCTCTGAACCAAACAACTTCTAAGATTCAAACACACTAAGGAATATCGGATCCCACGGGCTACGATCTAACAAACTCTTCTTATATCTTACCTAGTGCTAATTAGACGATCGAGACAAAAGATAAAACGATAAATTTATAACTGGAAACTCTTTATGCGATTCTTCCATGGATAATAATCGTGGTAGAAAGATCGACGTTAACTTCCTCCCATTGCTTACTTTCTAAAAGGTTCACTCTTTTTTAACATCAACGCACGTGTGTGTTTCTCGATCGATGAACTTGATCATTGATCGATCTAGATCTATTCTCTCTCTATCTTTTCTTACGAAGAATATTTTTTGTATTCTTTAAATTGCAAACATGATAGATAACAAATTACTGTAGGATAAATCATCAAAATTTGTACTCTGACATAATCCTGAATATAAAATTGTATAATAATAAATCTTGTTTTGTGCCAGAAAGTAGTATACCCAAATAGAATCATATAAACCTTGCTTCGCATTCCAAGTAGCTAGCTTGCTATCTAGCAACATTGAAACAAAAAAAAGTACCAGTTTCTTTCTAGTGTAACCAGATCTAGTTGAGGTTCCCATTTCAGATAAAAATGAACAACAAAAAGATATGAGAGACATCAGTTAAAATTTAATATACCATAACTATCGAGTATCTTATTTGAAGTAAAAACGGATGAGAATTGTTGGTGAATAGAAAATAGAAAGAAAAGTAAGGAAGTAATGTGCAAACACGTATGTTGTATATACCAAAGTGTCTCTTCTCAGCGTGGAACTTAGAGAGGAGGACGCCCCGTGATCCGATGAAAGTCGGTAAAGACTGATTTCGATCTGTTACCATAGAGAACCCGAGGGGAGAAGCTCTATTCCAAGTAGGTATGTACTTGTTTTGCGTGCATTCTGAAAAAACCGGCCAGTAGCAGCAGCAGCAGCAGCAGCAGCAGCACGCGCTCTCACGTAAGGAACTTAGCAGCGTGCTACCAGTGTGCTACCAGTATGCTACCAACCAGTGTGTTACCAACACGACAACACACTGTGTATACAGAGTCTAGCGATCAAATTAATCGGCATGACATCGTTGTTACTTCCTTCGCAACTCATGAACGTCTTTCACTTTACCTAGGTAATCTTTCTTTCTGTGTCTATTTCTTTTTTGATCAAACACGAACGTGGATATAAGTGTCTTCTTTAATTATTGCTAAAAGGAAACTAAATAAAGTGTACATAGAATCGATGAATAGGTGAACTATTAAAAAATGTAAAATGTTGGAATCGAAACACGAACAACAGGGGGATGAGAATGATGCGTGGCGTGAAACGCAAGTTTTTACTTGTTCGACGATAAAACGTCATGAGCCATAAGGCCTTTGCAATATCTTTCTCTCTCTCTCTCTCTCTCTCTCTCTCTCTCTTTCTCTCTCGTTCATAGTTGGTTTCATTCGCTCGTGGCGTGTAGAAGAAGATAGGACGAGAGAGTGCAGCAACACGGCTCGTTTAAAATGCAGATTAGAGGGGACCTTAGAGGCCTTAGGCCGCACTCTTGCACGGCCGTCGTGTCTCATGATAGGCGCGTGCGAAAGCCGTGGAAACTTTGAGAGAGAGAGAGAGAGGAAGGGACTTTTCAAACGATTTCACTCAGTCAGTCAGTTAGCATTGAACCGTTCGCGCCCATGAACGACCAACCCAACATGGGACATCCGACATGGACATGGTCTTCCGTCTTATTGTGTCTCTCTTGAACATTTCTTCTTTCCTTTTTCTTTTCACTCTCCTACACATATTTCTACGCTTAACGGTAGTATGTCATACGTATTCTTTGAAATGACACACACGACCAATGGATTTCTAAACAATATCTTATACACGATTTAAACATATTTTATTCGAACTAAATGAAAATCATCCATGAAGCTTTTGAAATGTAATTGTAGTTATAAATGTAATGATACAGATTTGAAGATACGTATGTAAAGATGATTACGATCTTGATGATAGTAATAGCGTATGTATATATGTGTGCGAAAGAGTGAAAAGATTAACAAGTAATAAATCAAGATGTGAAAGGTCTAATAATGAAATGTATTCTTAGTTTTGGCAAATCGATCGAAACTACAGAGACAGACAATCCGTAAACAAGTCCATGGCGAAACTTTATGGTTTAAGATCCGGCATGGAAGGAGACTCGGTTCCATTTAAAGAGCAATAAATTACTGCCAAGTCAGACACGTCCACGGCATTCTTCTGCCAACGGTTAACAATAAAGATTCGTGAAGCAAAAGAGACGAACCGTCGTCGTCGTCTTAGTCGTCGTCGTAGTCGTCGTCGTAGTCGTCGTCGTAGTCGTCGTTGTCCTCTCCTGTTGCAGGATTTCTCGAGTGGTTGTCGAGCGATTGGTGGATCAAGTTCAGCAAAAGGTCGATCTCTCAAATGGCGAAACTTTGCTGCTGCGATAGGATAGAACGATATCTCTTTCATTCTCTTGTATATTTCATTCTTTCTCCATTCCTCGTTTTCACAATTTCTCTCATCCTTCGTAGAAGAATTACGAGCTCGATAAACACAAAGCAGTACCGCAAATCTTATTCCCATTCGTATTGAAAATCGATCCTACACGCGTTTATTCATTTTCCAAGGATTTATTGGAAAGTATATCAAGGTGAATGAAGTATTTAATAAACGTTCGTATTTTATTTTAAGGATAGGATTTTCAATTTTTATATAATTTTAAACAAATGTTCTGTGCTTACTACTACGTGAAATTCATTTACAATGTTATTCAACTTAATTTGAATTTTGATCTTTCATTAATATTTACTAACATTATTGTACATTGCTAAGTTCATAAATTGCTGATTAAAATGATAAGAATTAAAGTAAATGGAATAAAAAAAAAATATAAAAAGTAAGTGTGTTAAAAGCGTAGGTGTTAACTGGACGATTTGAAGCAAGATAATTTTTGTTGCAAAGCCTATTAAAAGAAAAATATGGAGCATGTTATCTG